TGGGGTATGCTACAGACACCAACATTCCCGACAATCGTCCTGACTTCCACCCACTCAAGCTGGGGTTACACTATGCATTGGCTACTGGCTTGTTAAATGGATGCTGGGATGTACACTCCAGTTCTGATGGCTGTACCACTTAGCCATCTTGCCAGCCCAAAGTATGGCTTTTTCTTTTTCTCCTCTCCCTGGATCCACTCTGCTTTCCTTTGACAATGATTCAGACTTCCGTGCAATATCCATGGGCATCTGGATGTTGTTTGACATGGTAAGCTGTGGATATGATGCCTGGACCTGGACTGCTCTATCCTAAAATGTCCATCTAAAGCTGACTGGAAGCTTGCTGAGTATGACACTTATGACCACAAAAGGAGACCTGACATTTAATTTCAAGTTAGACTGTTTTGAGACATTAGTCTTGAAGCAAGCTTTGCTGGGGCAAGTCTTCCAGGGTCACAGCAAGATAAGGATACCCAAGCCGGTCTTCTGTGCCTTGGATGGTAGATGTGGGGCAATAGGAAATAGGATCAGATTATGAAATTCTAGTAAGAAGCCATCTGGGTTCAACCCAGGTGATAAGGGCTGGGAATATGATACCATAACTGGACTCTAGAGAAGTTGAGGGTCAGTCAACGAACACCGGGTCACCTTCTGCAGCATCCAACATTGTTACAGAAGTGATTGTAACCAAAAGTGTCAGTTTTCAACCAGAAATAATGAGAAATGTAAAGACAGCAGGACTCACAATTAGCAAAAGGTCAGAGAAAAGCTCTGGGCCAAGATTCTAGGCTTAGATGTGGCCTGTGGGACCCCTAGTCCACTACCCTGGTTTGCTGTGAGAGGTACACACACTCCTTCTAGTGAGTAATGGATACCTCTTGGCTTTAGGGGCTCATGCCAAAGCATAGAAGATGCCAAGTACAGAGGCTTCTGGCCCAGGTCACACCTACAAGTGGTACCACAGGAAGCCCCATGCCTGCCTAGCCTGGATCTTCCTATGCATCTCTGTGAATCCAGACAGTTTCAATAGTAACACCTCTGAAGAGGTCAAGACTGGGAGAAGCATTCATTGATGTCTATATCATCCTATGCTGAGTAACTCTAAGATTGCCTCCTTATTTGGTGTAGCTTTAAGATGTGCAAAAGATGGAAGTCTGAGATGAAATGAGCTGGTGGGCTTGGCTTGATGTTGGTGATCGGCATAGGACTTGCTGTCATTGCTACCTGTGTGTGTCCAAAGCTCTTACTTCAAGCCTTTTCTAACACCGCACTATTACAATGTGATGAGGACATGAGCAAAAGCTCATCACTGTTCCCTGCATTCTTTGGACTCTCCTGAAGTTTCTGTACTTCCAATTGCACTTTGAAGTCTTTGTGGGCCAAACCCAACATCTTGGCCCACAGCTTTTCTCTGACCTTTTGCTAAATGTGAGTCCTGCTGTCTTTACATTATTTCTGGTTGAAAACTGACACTTTTGGTTACAGTGTAGCGACTACTGACTCTGATCTATATATTTCTTTTAGCTTGACTAAATTATTTAACTTGGGCAGTTTGTCTCACCCCAGGAAAGCTTGGCTGTTCCTCTGGCTCAGTTTTACATTCCTGCTAGTCTGACTTCCCAGGGTCAGTCCTCCGGAGGTCAGGAGTCAACCAGGCTGCTCTCGCTCAACCTGCAAGCCCCTGCAGCTTCCACCACAGTAGAGGACTGTGTGTGCAAGCAGAGCAGCTAATCAGGTCCTCACCATGTTGACATCTCCCTCCCAGTCAGGCTGTGTCTGTCCCCAGTACCTGGTGGCTTCCCCCTACCCAAGAATGCATCACCCCAGACTAGCTTCCTCTCTTCCTGGCAGGGTTGCAGTGAGTCCCTGCTAGCCCACCACCCTTCTCCGGCCCCAAGTCTATACCATTCTGCACCAAAGCTGCTGGCTGTCACGATCAGCTCAGGTTTGGGTGAGAGGAGCCACAGTAGAAAGGCCCCAGATTCCAAGAGTTCTTACACAAAGCATGAGCTTTTCTGAAACTTTTCAATGTCTTCAGTGCCCTTTAAACTCCCAGAGCCCTTTTTTTTTTTTTTTTTTTTTTTTTTTGACAAGTTAGCTTGCTTTCTGAAGGAAGGACTGGTTGATCTCTTCAAAATGGGCCAACCAGATCCCCCTAATAGCTGTGTCCTGGTGTTTTACACACACTGAAGATTGACAGCAGGGTAAATTTTAACAAGTAAAGCTGATGTCCGAAGTAGGAAAGAAACTGGATGTGGTGACCCACGTTTGTGACCCCCCAGCTCTGTGAAAGCATGGACAGGAGGATCTACACAAGATCTTGTCTCAAAAACACAACGTGGTTGGTTAGGAGTGCCGAGCCCTCTTAGTGCCGAGCCCCCTTCCAGGAGACTCAAGCTCAATTCCCAGCATTTACATTGGGGGCGGCTCACAACCATCTGCAACTCTAGCTCCAGGAGGTCCAACACCCTCTCTGTGTGACCAGCACACACATGTTCATGCATGCACGCGCGCAAACACACACACACACACACACACACACAGGAATAAAAATCTTCAAAAGCAAAATTTTAAAAAATGATCAAATACAAAGAGAACAGAAGGCAGACTAGAAGGAGGGACTTCTTCATTTCTTAAATAGCAGTGCTGTGAAGAAATGACTCAACTACCTTTTCAGCTAGATCCAGAGCAAGCGGAGACACAGAACAATGTATCTCAGGCTCCATTGGCAGTAAATGGTCGAAGTGTGGAGAAACGCAAACTTTATAATGACTTTTTTGAAATGTCAAGACTAAACACCTCCCCCCAGCCACGTAAGTTTTAAAACAAACAAAAGGATTTAAATCATCCATTTAGAATTTTACAAGCCAGTGAGGAGATAGATAGCTCAGGAGGGAGAGGCAATTACTGTGGACCTGACAGCTTCAGTTTGATCCTTGGAACCCACAGGATGGAAAAAACCTCCCACATGCTGTCCTGGTATTCACACATGTGCTCCCCCGCCCCCCCCCCAACACACACATACAACATAAGCTAAGCTGTAATAAAAACAACATAATTTTATCCTGATGGTCCATTTTATTCCAGAAAGTACCTGAAAACAGACTTGGCTAAGGGGCTCACAGGTGATGCCAGGGTACCTTCCACACAAACAGGCTGCACAGGGAACACAAGGCAAATTATACTGCTTTGCTCCTTGCTCTTTCAAAGAAATGATGTCTCTTCCCCTGCTGTGGGGATGTGCCCTCTGGAATTGGGTACGGTTAAGGACACGCACCATGTCACTGTGACTCAAGGGTAGAGACCAATCCTGCATTCAGAGAACTCACATGCCTTCAACGTCTTCACATGCCTGCTATTCCAAAGTGACAACAATAACAAAAAAATGTACCTTGGACTGCTGCGCTATCTAGAAACAAATGTAACAAACAGACTTGGTATGAAATTCAGCCAAATACTTCAAATCACTGAGATTGAACTGAGGGCCAGAAATGGTGAACTGAATTAAAGGCTGCTGAAGCTGAAAAGGAATGTGTAAAAAGACAGCTGAAAATTTTCAGTTAGGGGTCATTACAGGGAAATTATTGACATTTTAACCCGGCAGGACTAAAAGGAACGACTCCATGTTAGGAGCCAACATAGGAAACCAAGGGTTCACATTTTTAAACTGCCCCATCTCCAAGATAAATATTGTTGCAATTATAAGGGATTACTAATTTATAGGATATGCAGTTTTGACAACATGCTTAAAACCCTCAGTGACATCTCCATTCACACGACCCACCCGAAACAAGGACAGGAGGGCAAGGTTCAGCTGCTAACACTCCACCCGGCTAGAACGGCTCGGGGTGGGAAGGAGCCATTGCCTGTTGGTATTCAACTTGCTAGCTTCCTTCCTTCAGGATATCTCCTCCCATTTGTCCACCAGCCCCAAACCAAGGCCCTCTGGACTCAGCATGTGTGACCCCGAGTGTTCTCTCTCTTTCCCACTCACCTGTACGTGTCTGTCTCACCCACCTGGCTCAAGGCTCAGAACAGACCTTCCTCCTTCCTCCAGAGAGACTTCCCACAACACACCTCTGCACAAACTACCTGCTGCTTGTACCCCTCTCTTTCACCCATGTCCAGCAGGAGTCCCTCCACCTGAGGGCCAACGTCCCCTCCGCTGTCCTTTCTCTTGGGCTCCCATTGCCCTTCGCACAGCATCTGCAGCCCCTGCTTTAACTCTGCACCCTAACGTCAGCAAGAGCTGCCTAGCAACACAGCCTCTACTTGGCACCCACCCACTCAGCAAAGGGTATTGTTCTCACCATTCCATCCACATCACTCTAGTCAAACCCCATGGTTCCTGGTTCCTCAACTCAACAGCAGTAAATTTACTCACTTATACACGTATGAACAAATGTGTCAGTCGTTCTTTGTAACTGTATAAGGCTGTCTCGGTGGATATACATGAGATGTGAGAAAATGCAGCCCTCAAAGTGACTTTGTTAAGTCACACAAGAAGGATGAAAGTCATAACTCCAATTCAACTCAACTGTCAAATTAAAAAACAAACAAAAAAAGCATTTCAGGGCTGGAGAGATGACTCCGTGGTAAAGAGCACTGGCTGCTCTTCCAGAGGACCCAGGTTCAATTCCCAGCACCCACATGATAGCTCACAACAGTTTGTAACTCCAGGTCTAAGGAATCTGACATCTTCACACCAAGGCACATAAAATAAAATAAATTAATTTTAAAAACAGGTCCCATGTTTAAGAGGAAATGAAGATGTACAAACTACCTTGGAGAAAGACTAAGCAACTGGTGATCCACACACACTACTCTCTCTGAAGGGAAAAGGAAGATTCCAGCTAAACCCTCAGACCCTCCTTTCACACACAACCCTACTTAACATCTCCAAGGCTCAAACTGAACCCTGACAGTAGATGTCCCAAAGTCAGCAGTCAGCAGAGGCAATACGCGGAAGTCATTTCTCCTCCCAAAGAGACGCCAGCAGCTGTTTCCCAAGTGTCTTTATTGTGGATGAAGACAGCCAACTTAAATCATTTTTATTTGGAAGTTTTTGTCTTTTTGCCTTGCAATGCTCCTGAGAAATTCAAGAGTGCATTGGCTTTAACTCTACATAAAACACAACCGAATCTCATGATACAGTTAGATATTTCTCACATTTGTTATTTTTCCTACAAATCAAAAGACAATGTACCAATTTTAAGTGATTAAATCATAATAAGTTAAGATGTAAAGACTGGCAAATTATCACAAATGTCAACATTACAATGATCATTATTTTTCCAAAGGAATATATAAAATAAATATTACCTAAATCAACTGATATTTACAGAAGGTAAATTTTTGTTACTTGACAATGCTTTAAATGCTCTAGTAATATGAAAATTTAAAACAACCCAGTTCAAATGCAGCCCTTTCTATGGTTTTCACCTGTCTCTCCCCTGTGGCTGACTGGGTAAGGGCTTGCACTCTCGAATCCTTTGGAAGGTTAAGAACTAAAGGCTTTTCTTGGGTGGTATCTGATAAGTTTAACTGGCTAGCTGCATGCCATCTTTTTTTTTTTTTTTTTTTTTGCCTATGTGCTTTGGTTTGCCCCCCTTTTTTAAAAACAAACAAACAAACAAACAAACAAGAATGTCAGGAAGGAGAACTCACAGAAGCACATGTTAGTGATTACATTCAATCAACTGCACGACAGGGTGAATTCTTGGTAGAGTATTTTGATGTACTTGAAAACCATTAGGAATGTTGTGAAGAACTGTGGCTTCCAGTGCAAAATTCAGTCACAAATTCTACCAAGTGCACAGAGATACCCACAGTGAAGTTCCTGCGGTTCCAGCAGTGCAGTAAGCCCGTGGTATCTGATGCAAAATTCAACTGCAAATTCCACGAGTGCTGGAAGACATCAAGGGCAGACTTCCTGCAGTCAGCGCATCGCTGGCGGGTCCTGTGGGTAACTCAAGAGTGCGTGCTTCTTACTCTGCTAGGAAGTTTCCTTGAGCAGATGGTTCATCTCTGACACAACTTAGTTCAGAAAAGCTGATGAGTCATGTCTGGGTTAGATCAGTGCACACTTAGCGTGCATTCAACACAGACATTTAGGTGCTGCAGTTTTCAGACAAGGCCATAGACTTCAATAGCAGCTATGTAATATACTTCGTTCTTTGATGCCTGGGTGTGGAGCCCCCATGACAGTTTCAAACTTAGGCTAAGTGACAGGGTGAGGAGGGCGGGTTATTTTGGTCAAGTAGTTTCTAATGTCATAAAAGGTATTTTAAATATAAAATACAGTTTAAATAGCCACCATATACTCCCTCTTTAAAAGAAAACATTTTACATCTTCCATTTTCTTCTTAGTATAAAAACTAGTCTTTTGGCTGCTTCCCATGGAACTTAAAACCCCTGGCAAGCAGTAAAGGATCCAGACTAGTGAGTGAAAGCAACTTTTAAAGGAACATACAAAAACCTGCATCACTAGACCCTCAACTTACAATGGCTTAACTGTCTCAATTTTGGGGTGTGCTAAAATGATACATTTGTAGCAGAAATCGTACTTTAGATTTAGAAATTCTGGCAGCAGTGGGAGCTGTGGCTCCTGGTCAGCCTCGTGTAGTGTGGTCCCAAGAGGAAGCAGTCATACTAAGCCAGACTGGCTGACAGTTGGGTACAGTGACGGAATGCTTATTTTAAGATGTTTTTCATTACAATGGGTTTATTGGGCCATTAGCCCACTGTAAATTGAGGGGCATCTGTGCTATGCAAAACTCTCTGATGGCAACTTTTTCTAACATGTATGAGGGAAAGGACCTACCTGTAAATAAGTTAGTTTAAGGACACAGGTGACACCAGGAAGCAGGATTGTCTTGGTTACTTACTTTTTCAGAAAAGGGTATTTTACCATCAAACATCATTAAAACCAAAACCTCCAGTCTTTTTAAATGCTTTAGAAATACACAGCTTATCATAGGTAAACTCACAAACAGCCCAGCTGAGCTATGACAGGTAACAGGATTGTTGACACTTGTGAATTAGTTTAGTTTCCACCCTTCCTTGCTATACAAGCTTCTCGTTTTAAAGGTTTATCTGAACTTAGAAAATATGCAAGAAATGACTTTTAAATGTACATCAACAGCTAATATAAATATGAACATCCTGATACAACAAAAGCTGTGAGTCAGGATTTTTCTCTTTCATAACGGCTTTGTAAAAAAGTACAGAGTATTGGCTTTAAGTTCCAAACACCTGGTGCAGGTACACTGCATGGAGCTCTACAGTGCAGATGGCGCAACTCGGACATAGGCAAGAGGTGATAGATAGGTCCCCAGGTATTGCTAACTGTAGTCTAAGGCGTATGTGGATGCAGCCATATGGCGAAACACGTACACAAGAATTACATGATTTTGTGCATTTGTGCAAGGGGGCCTTTAGGCTTTCGTTTACTTTTGGGGTGTGTGTGTGTCTGTGTGTCTTTGTGTTTTGAGACAGGGTCTGAAACTCACTGTGTAGATCAGGCTGGCCTCAAACTCCTAAGAATCTGCCTGCTTCTGCCTCCCAAGTGCTAAGACTAACCGTACACCCCAGGCTGGAAACCTGTAGTTTTAGGTGATACTTTACTAACAGCATATAGTCCACAATAAAAAGAAACAAACTACTGATCCATGAAATAACTTGAGTGGATCTCAAGGGAATTATGCTATATGAAAACACCCATCTCAAGAGGTTACATTAACATGTAATTTCATTTAAACAGCGTTCACAGAATAATAAATTATAGAGGGTGACCGTGGTTTTCGGGGGCTAAAGGAGGCAGCAAGGGTTAGAAAAAGGCAGCTCAGGGACCCTTCTGGAGGAAGGTTGGGTCTTAACTGTGATGGCCAGATGAATCTACACACATAATAAAACTGCATAGAACCAAATACCCACTTTGCCTCAGGGCACTCACAACCTCCCAGAGCAGCCTTATTCCCTCCCTACACGAGGCCCTCTATGGTGGCTGAGGCACACTGCAGAGCATCTTCTGCTCTGGGCACTGCCACCTTTATTAAGTGCCTTTTTTGGGGGTGGGGTAGAATAAATTCCTTATCTTGAAAAGATGAACCACATGCCCCTATATTAAATGAGCTTGAAAATCTGAGGAGATAAAAGCAGATACAGTTATTCTTGCCTCTTCCTTTTAGAATATTGTAAATTAAAAAATAAACCAAATGTTTCTAGTCTTAAGTTAGGTGAAATCATACAGTGAACAAAAAAGCAGATTATATAGCAGTTACTTACTCTCCTGACACCTGCAATTTCTAAAAGCATTAAGAATATTTTTATTAACAGAAAAATTACAACTACAAACAAATAATGACTCTTTCCAGAAGGCCACTTAGTGATCAATTCACACACACGGTGTTCATGGTTTCCTTAAAGTGCTGGACAGCCTCTGGTTTGAAAGCTTCCTACTGCTTTAGCAGGTCCTTTAGTACAAGGCCAGCGCTGTTGCCAGGCGACACAGGCAAAGGTGTAAACGTGGGGAGAACATCTGAGATGGGTTTCAAAAGAAGATGCCCAGGCCCACCAGGTCCGTGTCCAGCTGGGCTCATTAGGGGCACAGCCGCTGAGCGGGGAGCCAAGAATGGGCTCAGATCTGTCCTTCTTCCTGCCCTGGGTTCTGCTGTGTCTAAAATGATAAGATACAGACAATTTGGGTTCTGACCTTCACAAAGAGGTGGCATGAAATAACCCTCTGAACACAATAATGCAAAGAAACCTGTTCCAATAATTTTATCAAACATGGTCGTTAGATTTTTTTTTTGTTGAGACAAGGTCTCTAGCTCAGGCTGGCCAGGAACCTAATAGCTGAGCATGCTCCTCTTGTCTGTACTTTGAAAGCTGGAACTGTGCTACCATGCTCAGTTTTTTTTTTTTTAAATTTTACCCTGCTAATCATAACACTACTATTTAGCACAGGTTATTCAAAATGAGAACGCCAACAGACCTTCAAATTCTAAGCATAAAATATAAATTCATGGGCCAGCAAGACGGCTCAGCAGACTAAAGTACCTGCTGCCAAGTCTCCAATCCTGATGACCTATAGGACTAAGTTCAACCCCAGAACCCATGTGGTAGAGGGAAACAAACCCCCAAAAGTGTGCATGGAGTGCACACACTTTCACACATATACACACATGTACACATAATAAACAAGTAACATTTTACCTGTTTACCAATGTGTATTATTAAAAAAAACTCATGAAAGTTCATTCCTAGTCAAAGTATTTTCTGATTTAAAAAAAAAAAAAAATGCCACATGTGCTCTGGGTTTCCACACTTGGCTTCCTACAAATCCAAATGATATGCTGCTGAGTTCTGGATCCTACAGCAGACTCTATCTGTGAAACAGAGATGGGCAAAAGTGTGGTGGAAGGTACAGAGGTCCTTGTGTTCCCAGAGAAGCAGGATGCTAAACACATGTGGTTCCTTCAAAGGGAGGGATATATAATCTTTTTACAAGGCTGAAGATGGATGTGGTTAATCTTGGGGAACTTTGCGCTATCTGTGTAGCCAAGACCACAATGGATGCTCCCCAGACTCTTACAGTATGCTTCTCAACCTATAGAAACATCTTTATAGGAGGTACCACACACAGTAAGTCTATAGAACCCATCTTTATGGAAGACTCAGATGTACTTTTACAAAGAGCTTTGATACAGGGACTGAATCATTTATCACCAGAAAAAAAATTTCACCAAATTGTGCTACACTTAAATATGGCTAAAATAAACCACTCAAGGTCAGAGAACTGAACCACCTTCTTGCCTCCCACTGATCATTACTGTGCAGGTCATGGTGGTCCCAGAGACCCCAGAATAAAGAGAAGAAATGAAGAAAAAGGAAGGGTAGAAAAAGGACAGAAGAATATTTGTAAGCACAACAATACTAATTAAAGTATCTTATCTTCAAATACTAGCTGTATAGTGGAAAGCTTAATTTGCTCTAACGTTTTGAAATAGTGGTATATAAGTTGCAGGGTTACTTTTCATACCTATCAGAAAGATGAAGGACTTGGGAACTTAGGACTTCCCAGTGATTATGACAGCTATGAAAAATGCTGGCATACCATGATTATTATAGTGATGCAATAGTAATAAAAATTAATTTGCTAGAAGAGCAAACAATATATATGCATCTATGATTCAATCATCTTTACAGACATTTGAAGGATGGAGAACATCCTCAGTGGTATTATTTCTCTATCAGCTTGAACAGTCATTTTCATTAGTCTAGGTTGTTTGGCTTATAATCTGTCTTAGTGGCTATAATTCTGCCTTATTACCAAAGAACACTAATAACTTCACTAAGCTAAGCAAACCCTGGGAGGTCCCTTCTTAAGCAATGGGAAATTAAAAATGGGCACTAAGACAAGGTCAGAAATAAACTCATTATCTGCAGCTGTTGCAGAGCACTTCTGGGTTCCCATGCTGGGCTTCCTATGACCAACAACTTTCCAAACTGGAAACGCTCCTATACTGTTTACCGAGCTCTACACGCTGTGAACACAGGGGAACACTCTATACACTGTGAACACAGGGGGATGCTCTACACACTGTGAACACAGAAAGATAATAAGCTCTACACGCTGTAAACACAGGGGGACACTCTACACACTGTGAACACAGGTAGGCACTAAGCTCTACACACTGTGAATGCATGGGGACACTCTATACATTGTGAACAGAGGGGGACACTAAGCTCCACACACTAGTAAACACAGTATGAATACAAAGCTTGTGTTCTCCATGCAAACCCTACCACAACTCAACCCACCTCTGACTGATACATACACCAAGCTGAGCTCAGCTGATGAAGAAATGGATGAATGGATGGATGGATGGATGGATGAAAGAAAGGAAGGAAGGAAGGAAGGAAGGAAGGGATGAAGGAAGGGATGGGAGATAATGATGGGAAAGGCAGAGAAATGTGGAGATCTTTCAATAAAGAATGTGAGAATCTCTTTTAAGAAGCTACAACCTACTGCAATATGAAAAAGAAAAATGTCCTCAGTTTAGTCTGTACCTCCTAGAGTGACAATTTTAACTGAATTTAGCAGCTAAACCTTTTTATCTTAATGACAGATAAATTTTATTACTTCACCTTCATATAAAAGTTCAGAAAAACAGAAGTATCTGTCTAAGAAAGCTTTAAAAATTCTAAAACAGAAATTCTTTAATATTTTATCCAAATTTAACTATGAAGCATATGATATATAGCTTAAGTCTATACTAAACTATATGAGTCTAAATTAAAATATGAAAATAGGAAAAAAAGAATTGTTTATAGTTTAGTGGATAATTCAATTGCAACTCCAGAAATGTTACTATATGCCAGTATCATCAAGATGAAACAAAAAAGACTGTTACAACTCAGTGGATCAAAAACATATACACAAGCAACCACTAACAATTTCCTTCCAGGCAGATTCTGGCACGCAAGCTTTTCCACATTCTTGAATGTTTAGGTTAGTTAATTAAACCAACCTTATGTATACTATTTATGTGATAAGAAGTCCAAAGATTTTTTTCAAACTACATGCATCTAACTTTGATTAGTAGTAACTAGTATCAGAGAGAAATGAAAACAGGTGACTAAGCAAAGGTGTAACTACTTCACTACCATTTCCGGAAAAGAAATTTAAAGTGGCTTATAATTAAAGCAAATAAAATCAGATTCCTATAATGTCTAAAAATATACTACAATATATATGACTCAGGGGTGTGTGAAAGGTTTCCCATGAAGACAAAATAATTCTCACAAAGAATCATTTTGCCATAAAAAGAAACTATTTTATGCTATTTACATTAATTAAAGAAAATAAATTACAAGGTACGAGAACATATAAGGCCCAAATTTGGTGTCATTGGAATTCTGGAAGCAGTATCACATGCTTGAAAACCACTGAAAATGTAAAGTCACTACAAATGTACATCTTAAGTTACACACTCCATCTGAGCACCAAGGGGAAATCAAGCGTCTAGTTTTACCTTTGGAACATCCAGGTGTGCTGCCATCAACTTTCCTTCTCCCTGGAGAATCCAGAGGTTTCAAGTCATGAACCGACAGCTTTGGGGGTGGGACGGACGGATGAGATTCTGTTTCCAGAAATTTAACGAAAAGTTCTGAAAAGGACTAAGAGAAAATATTTGGTTATGTTACTAGGGTTGTATCAGATGATGTAAAAAGAAATCTGGTATCATGCAAATATGTGTGATATTTAATCATTTCATAATTCATGTTCAGCAGAAGTAAAACTGGGTCTTACGCTATTGAACATGGACTGCTGATTTGGTCTCAAAGGTGTATTGGGCACACTTTTCGACCCTCCTCCAAGCCATCCAGTCATCCACCGAGTAACACCGCCTTGATCTTCAGCAAACAACTGCAAGAACATTTTAAAACAGAAAAATATTACCAGCATGGGACAAGAAAGATAAGAACTTCTCTTACGTGGTTTCAGGGAATAGTAAATCATGCTTTATACTTCAAATTCTAGTAAAGGTTTCCTACCACTGACAGAGGTTACAAAGAAAACAAAATGCTGCCTCAGTAGTCCAGAATAAATGTTCTGGGTATGATTATGTCTCAAAAATGTCAGCAATCTGGTGTGAGAACTAGTGTATAAGTTATAAAATATTTACACTAACACCACACAAACTGAACAAACCTACCTCTTTGATTAAGAAAACTGTGTTAAACCTGATATATACACAGTAGAAACAAACTATTTTCCACTATGCCCCTGTATTATAAATGTAATTATAAACATACTTAGTTTGAGAACCAGGGTGTAGGTCAGTGGTAGAAGCTTAGCTAACGTGGAAAGACACACTAGGCTCCATCCCCGGTGAAAGAGAAAGAGAAGAAGGATGGAGAGAAGGGGCAGCGTAGCTGGGAAGAAGGGGTAGAGTGGTTTTGCTGTCTGGTTACCTGGTCCATTTCCTCCCTTTTAACACCCAGGATGCTCCCCATCAATCGCAATGCTTCATGACGTTGATTTTTAGGTGTGTGGAAATGACCAATGAAGAGGTTTCTCATGAGCACTCTAGAAAATCAAGGCAGAAATAGCTAGGGTCAAGCTAACATGCCTACCTAACACAAGCTTACCCACACACTAAACAAACTAACATTTACATATACTTAAACAATGAGATGCTTAATTATAAAGACTGAATGGTAAAGTACTAAAGCAGCTTTTAAAGAAGTCTAATTAGGAATACTTCAAACAAACCGAAACACGTACTTTTAAAAAAAAAAAAAAAACTTATTAGGGGCTAGAAAGATGGCTCATCAGTTAAAATCACTAGCTGCTCTTCCAGAGGACTTAGGTTCAATTCCCAGCACCCACATGGCAGCTCACAACTGTCTAACTCCAGTTGCAGGGGATCAAACATTCTTACACAGACATACATACATGAAAAACATCAATACACATAAAAATAAAATTAAAAAAATAACACTTATTAGCCAACCAATTCTTTAGACCCCCAACCGAGGAAGTATCTCACAATTAGTTTTCAACACCTAACTAGGTGATTCTTACCTGAGACATGAAAATGGAGATATAGGCTATATGCCCCCAATCATATCTATTAAGGATTCTAAATAATATCTTTTTTTGTATTTTAAAATACTAAGTGAGATTATTGCATAAATAACTAGGTTTCAGACTTAATACATTTAAAAAAGGTTAGATGTGTTCATTTAAAGGTAATAAAGAGGGGAAATATGCCAGGCAGTGAATGGTAGTGCAGGCCTTTGATCCCAGCACTTGAGAGGCAGAGGCAGGCAGATCTCTGTGAACTCCAGGCCAGCCTGGTCTATAGAATGAGCTCTAGGACAGCCAGAGCTATGCAAAGAAAGCCTGTCTCAAAAAAAAACAAAAAGGAAGGTGTGTGTGTGTGGGGGGGGGGCGGGAATGTTAAAAATAAACCTCTTGTTTTCTAAGTATTTCATATACAGGTGGTCTTTTTACCCTGAGACAGAGTTTCTCTGTCCTGGAACTCACAGAGATCCGCCTGCCTATGACTCCCAAGTGCTGGGATTAAAGGTGTGTGCCACTGCCCTGCAGAAATATTTTTTAAAAAACAAAACAAACAACAACAAAAAAAAAAAAACTCTTGCATATGAGTTGAAAGAACAGACTTTAAAAATAAAGTAAGTTACTCTACTAACTGTCAAGAAAACTACCTACATGTCAATATGTAAGAAAAGCAAACCACTTCTAGAAAATGTGGTCACGTGTAAACATCTGCCATAGCTCCACTGTTCTCTGAAAGCTATTCCTGTAACTCAGGAGGAGTCAAGAGGCAACACTTGAATGAATGAATGAATGAATGAATGAATGAATGAATGAATGAATGAATGCTGGTCGATGGTGGCACACGCCTTTAATTCCAGCACTCGGGAGGCAGAGGCAGGTGGATCTCTGTGAGTCTGAGGCCAGCCTGGTGTACATAGCAAGTGCCAGGGCCGGCTCCATAGCTACTGGGAAAACCTATCTTGAAAAAACAAAAGAACAGAAGCAACGCTCACTTGTCCACTTTTCCTTCCGTGCTGCTCACTAAGTTCATCAGCTTCTTCTGAGCATCATCCAGCATCTCTTCGTGGAGAGCATCTATTTTTAGTGAATAAAGACAGCATTAGCCAACCAGCCAGGATAGACCTACTTAGAAATGTGAATATGTACCCTATTCCAATTGCAGTCATCTTTTTCTTGGTTCAGGGGACCTAGACAGAAATTACCTAGAAGGCAGGGGATGCAGTATTCCACACGGTTTGCCCCCAATAGAACAATCAGTTCCTTAACAAAAGTGTAGAAATCACAACCAGTCTCCACCCACTTAGCAACTCACAGGCAAAGAGCAGATGGCCACACTGCTTTCTTGCACAGTGTATTTCCAGAGCAACTCTCACTTAATGGGAGGAAATGGAAATGACAACTTTAGGTTTTCCTTGCTGGGTTTTCTTGGCTGGGTTCTGCTGCTGGTGAGCCAAAAGACTATCTAACCAGCTCACACCGTGGCTTAGGACAGCTGACAGTACTCTGGGGCAAAGCACAGTTAAAAGCTCTACCATGCTAATCGTGTTACAACGCTGTTGGCTGATTAAAAGGATGCTTAGACAATTTCTAACTTTGTACTTTAAAAATGTACTTTATACCTGTAAAATGGTTGGATCCAGGCATTTTTTAAATGCAAAGTTTAAATTTAAATCAGGAGATGTCATGTGCACAAGCTAATCATGCAAAAGGATCAACATCTCTTGGCTAAAGAACCTCTCTATTCAACAGCCTACACTTTTACTTAGAAGCATACAGTATAGTTCAAAGAGGTGCTTAGTGATTTTAAGGAAAAGTACAGTTTTCATCCTAGACAAAGGCAAGAGGAAACTGCATGTAAGGTCCCAATATGGAGCCATACACACACACTCTTTCCCTGACTGGGAATGGCTAGGTGAGTCCCCTTACCAGGCACCAGGCCTTGCAATAACTTTTCCCGTTCTCTTTTGAGACATTTCTCTTTCCCATTACCTTTTGAAACATGAGTTTTAGATTTTGATGAAGTCTAATTTATCATCTTCTTGTTTTTGCCCAGTACTGTGAAGATTTACTCCTATGTCTTCTAAGAGTTTTTATGGTTTTGAATACAAAATTTAGGACCCTGATCCTTATCAAGTTCATTTTTTTTTTTTTTTTTTTTTTTTGTGGTATGAGAAGGTGTTCAACTTGACAGCCACCCGATTCTCTACATGAGACAGCAGCTGCTCCAGCGTTACATGGTGAAACTCTGTCCTTTTGTCGCCCTTCTGAAAAGTTAACTGACCATCAGTGTCTGGGGCATTTTCCTAGTCTTGCTTCCCACATAATTCTGCATGTTTTTCTCCCTCTGATGAATGGGTCTTATTTACAGGACTGCCTACTGTACTGACTCATGCCCACTCCTCACTCTGAATTTCCTAACTTACTTTCTCACATGACTTTCCTCATAGACACATCAGCTCTTTCTTTTGTCTCCATTCTGTCCTGTACAATGATTAGAAGGCTGACTTACAGTACTAAATGCAAACATAAGGCACTCACGTTAGAGGTTTGCAATGGCCTGTGGTTCTCTAAATTGCAAATTTCTAAATTACAAAATGCTATTCATATAATAGGCTAACTTTACCAAAATAGAGATGGTTGCCATAACCATATTATAAAAACCAAGGTTTGTGTTTGGAAAATCTCCTACAAACTTTCCTGTCTTTCCATCAAGGAATTTAAATTGGCAGGGGGAGAGGAAGGGGGGTTATTAATGAAGTCTGCCTTAGTAAAAGACATTTTCTTAGACCCTTCAAGTACTTTACACCACAGGCGCACGTTGCTTGCTTTCCCTAGCATTACATTCTAGATGTGACAGACCTCTTGGCCACAGGAAAAACAGCAAAGCAGTGAGCTGAAGCAGGAGTCACTGTAAGGAGCTCCCCTCCCCCAGGACTACATAATGGTAGCAGAGAAACAGTCCAAACTTCCCTACTCTCTGCACATGTGCCTGTACACTCATGGAGAGGCTGAGGAGGGTGTCAGGTGTCACTTTGTCTCGCTCTGCCTTAGCCCCTTGAGACAGGGTCTCTCACTGAAGCTTGTAAACCTTGTGATCTCCAGCCCCCACAGCACTGGGGTTAGGGAGACAACTGCAACTATAAACCCTTGTTATATGAGTTCTGGGATGCAAATGCAGTTCCCCATGCTTGCACAGCAAGCGTTCTCACTCATGAGTCTCCTCCCTAGCCCTGCTACTTTCTCCTCAACTATGTCTATTGATTTTATACTGATTACATTTCAAAATGATAGTAATTAGGAGACATGTTGTTTAAAATAAAGTATACAAATTAATTTCATGGGACTCAGTGGTTAAGAGCACTGGCTGCTCTTGCAGAGAAGCTGGGTTTGGCTTCCAGAGCCCACATGGTGTCTTACAGCCACATGGAACTCTAGGCCCTGGGGATCTGGTGCCCTTCATAGGCATGTGCTCACATGGTGCACATAAACCCATGCAGATACACACAACATTAAGAACGATAATCTTACTGAGATTTTGCCTGTGTTTATGTGTTTTGCCCGCATGCATGTCTGTGTAGCTCATGCACTTAGTGCCTGTGGAGGCAAGAAGGCATCAGACCCCTGGGACAGGACTTAATAGATAGTTGTGAGCCTCTATGTGGGTGCTGAAAATCAAACACAAGTCCTCTGGAAGAACAAATGCTGAGCCATCTCTCCAGTTCCAATGAGTAATCTTAACAAAAAGATGATTTATTTTTTATTCTTTCTTTTTTTAACCATTTCTAGTTAGCCATTAAAAACAAAAGTTATATCAGGCATAGTAGGACATGTTTGCAATCTCAAGCACTCAAGAGCCTGGGGCAGAAAACTTCCTAATTGAGGCCACCCTGAGCTACACATAGTGAGGCCAGTCTCGCTTTCTCAAGAGAACAGTTTATTTGTACTGGACAGTATGCTCCAACCACATAACCCATACATAAAGCTACATTACATTGGCTCCCGTTTAAAAGAAAACAAGGAAAGCAGCAAGTGTGCCGCCCAGCCAGGAGATGGCTCCGCAGGTAAAAGTGCTGCTCTGTAAACCAATGACCTGAGTTTTATCTGTGGAATCTACAAAAAAAGGTGGAAAGATCTGGTTCCACAAAAACGATCTTCAGACCTCCATGCACACCATGCAGGCCTTCATACACACCCAGAACACACCATATGTGTACATAATAGCAACAAATAAAATACTGTTTTAGCAACAAATAAAATACTGTTTTTAATAAGTAGTCAATGTGGCTTGCACCTGTGGTTCCAGATGCTAAGGCCAAGGCAGGAGGATCTTTGCATCTGAGAGGTTGAAGCCAGTTTGGGTGAGATCTTACTTAAAGAATCACAGCCAAACAAAGGCCTGCCTGATGGACAAACATCTTCAGAAAAGCAAAGATTCTAATAAAAGTTATCTGAATAAAGAAGTCAGAAAGCCAAAGCATCATACAGGTCAAAGTGACAAGATTAAATTGTCTTAAACTCACTATTAGTCCCTGACCTAATGCAGCCTCAGGTGCTTAAATGTACTGTGATATCTGAGTAGAGAAAGGAAAAAGAAAATGACCTCAGAACTTAGAGAGAGAGAGACAGGAAGGAATGTATTAATTTTGAGGGCTTAGAAGAAAAAGAAGTCACACACCCATTCCAAAATCCCTAAAGACTCATCTTTTCTCCAGCAACACATGCTTTCCTCTCCTCCCCTCTCCTCAGAAATTCTGAATATTTCTTTACAAAAGCTGAACTCAAGCCACAATTTGAAATAAGAATGATATTTATATGGGCAGGCAAAGTATTATTATTCAGAAATGGATCCTAGTCCAAATACAATAGTCCTGTGAATAGTCACACACGCCCAAATAATTCTTTAGAAATACAAGTTGGGGCTGGGAAGCGTTTTTAGTTTAAGCAATGAATCAGCTGAGATGGAGTCTAGTCTGGAGAAAGTGTGTGACATAGTAAATCTTCCACAGCAGAGCTCCGAAACCCCCAGATGACACCACAGCCTTAGAATCAAAATCAAATGTGCGAGAGTGAGTGCATCATAACTTTATATTTACTTGTGATTAATGACAGTGCACGATACCATCTTCAGAGAACAGCTTAAAGTGTACCATACTTCTTATGTACTGCTGGTTATCTCATGACTAAGTGCCTGTGAGAAGGGTTACTGAACAGTAACCAATGAGATAAGGGCGAAGACCAGAACAAGAACCCAACAACCCCAGAAATGAACCATGCTCAGGGCTAGGCATGGTTTGACTCTTTTAAATGAATGTGCTCTTGCAAAGAATTTTGAGAAAATGAAATAAATGACCAAATACTGACTTTCACCTGATTTCTTTTCTTCCTTTCTTCGAGACAGGTTCTTGCTACATAGACCTGGAAATCACTCTGTAGACCAGGTTGGTCCAAACTCACAGAGACCCACCAGCCTCTGCCTCCCGGGTGCTAGGCTTAAAAGCATGCACCACACCCAGCTTTCATCTGATTTCTTAAATGAAAAAATCCATTGTTAAATTTTGCTCTAATCAACAGTAATCACACATACGACTTTGGTTGATACTGATATTCCCCCCCCCCCTTATTTTGCATTTTTCTCATTTTTAAGAGCCAAGGCAAAGGAGACAGCAGGAGAAATAAAAATGTTTGAAAGATAATTTTACTTATCTTTATAAATGTAAGTAAGTAAATTAGATATGAGATTCTATTTGCATTGGCAATTTAACAGTAATTTTTCATTTTATTTGATTTTTAGTATGTGGCTATGTGTGGGTAAATGTGTATCTTAGTTAGGGTTTCTGTAGGTGTGAGAAAATAACCTGACCAAAACAACTTGGGGAAGGACGTGTTTCAGCTTATAGAAAGAAGTACAAGCACGGCCCATCACTGAGGGAAGTCAGGGCAGAAACTGAAGCATTAGCATGGAGGGAGCTGCTTTCTGTCTTGCTTCTCATGGCTTGCTCAGCCTGCTTTCTTATAGCATCCAAGACCTCCACCCACAGCGAGCTGTGCCCTCCCACATCAACCAAGAAAAATGT